CCCCCCCTCACCACCACTCCCAGTTGGCCCTGGAATCTGTGTCATGGTCAAGAAGTTGGATAGCCCCTGATTTAATGCCTTTCAGTAAGAACATCAGCTGTTTACAGGACTGCGATTCAGCAAAGATCCAAAAATATTCAGCATGCCAGGAGAGCCAGCAGGGGATAGCTCGGGATGCAATAATTCATCCTGCAAGTTCCTACTTCCCCTTAATTATTTCCTAGTAATCCTGTCAACTCAGGGGGGAAAAAAAAGTTATAGTCATTTTTCAAAACAGCACATAAGTCAAAATAAAAGCTAATAATTATAAAATCACCAGCAGCACTAAGAAGACAAACTATGGCTTCCCGTTTTCAATCCTGCCTCATCTACATTAAACAGGAGCTAAAATACCTCCTCAGCCGGTCCCAGGAAGACTTACGTGATTCAAACTCCGTCACAGCTAACAATTTCTCTGAAGGTGTTCTCTCTGGGTGGCTTTTCTAGTAATTGGGGAAGAAATCACACAGGTACAGATTTTAACAACGAGGGGAAAATGGAGTGGTTTCACTTTTACATCCACATGAAGAAAAAGCAAACGATTCTCAATGAAGTAAAGAAATCCATCCAAGTTGTCTGCCATTGGGGGCTCTAAGAGTGTTTGCCCAACAGCCAAAACCAAAAGGCACCTTTGAAAAGCTTTTTTAAAGTGCCTGTCGCCTTCCTAACACCTCGATAATGCTATGCACACAGTAGGCTCAAAAATGCTTGTTAATGGAAAGAACAGTGTCTGGAAAACAACTTTTTTAGGACCCTGACTTAAAAGGACTGAGTCTACAGATGAACTGTTCTATTTATTATTTCTCCTTCTGAAAGGAACAAAATCCTACCCTCCATCCATTTCACACTTTCTTTAAGCATAGGCTAAAATGATCTCAAATTCGGTGTTTCAAAAAGAACACTTGTGGTTGTGTCTGTGAGCCCAGATTCACTTTAAACGTGTTGCTGGCTTTGTTCTAGACACCCCAAGAGGAGCTAACAATAGTAAACCCGCTAGGCTTTGAGAACATGAATAAACTTGGTGTTGACAAGAGTTCAAAAGCAGAGCTCAAGAGCTGGCCCGAGGCGTGTCTTTGTAATCTGGCTATTCAATTTGGGGATACAGGTGGTCTAGCCGAGTGCTCTCACCCCCCTAGTTAACATGTTAAGCTTCCCCTGGGTAGTTGGGTAGCCTGTCTCCCCTCATCCTTTGCAAGCTACTAGAATACAAATGGTCTGTTTTTTTAATCATCAAGTCCTACGGAGATGAAAAGGTGGCCAGGTAACTTTTCATTTAATAGACTATTAGTGGTAGCAGTAATTATAATAAAAATTGAATGAAACTGGTCTAAACTCATCATGGCATTCAGGCTACCCTCCTGGTGCCAAAACATTTCAATCGTCCTTTTTTTTGGGAGCAGAAATCTTCCATTCACAGGATACGTTTCTATAAGATTAGTAGCTCGTTTTGCCTGGGAAAGCTCCATTCAGGAAAGTATACAGCTTCTTCTGAATTCTTAACCACAACACTGTAAATAACATCAATGAGTAGGGGGAGAGCGGGGAGCGGTGGGGGGAGCCAGCAGACTGGTCACCAATCGTGACCCCATCCAGTCACGGCGCTTCCTCCTACCCTTTCCTTCTGACCAAGTATTCTGCGTATCTTTAAAGATAATTTGTAAGGAAGGGTCCAAAAGTTAGCCTCCTCCAGGGACAACACTTCTGATTTCTCGGTGTCACTCCACAGGCAACCCTCTGAACGCCTTCAGTTACCCTGAGCTGGTGCAGTGGCATTTCCACAAGCACCTGACCTAAGCTGAACATAACGGAACAGTGAGCTCAGAGTTTGGAAATGTGCTACATCTGTTTACAGCGGCCCAGGATCCCAACTTAGCCTGGGGACAGGTATGTGCTAATCGTTTATGATCACATTTGGCTTAGACAAAAAAAAAAAAAAGACAAAAATTTAAAAGGTGGGGGTGGTATACAGAGGAGGTGGATGAAATTTCAGCTTTAGATTTACAGTGCAGAGCCTCTGCCACCAACTTATTATTAGCAGGCACCTCCGTACACATGTGCCTCCTAATCTCCATGCGGCCTGCTTCATTGTGTCACGTGAACAAATCCTGTGGTGTTTCCCTCCCCTCTTTTTATTTGGTCCTTTGGAGATCAGGCGCCCCACACGCAATCTCTAAGGACAGAACAAACAAGGGCAGAACAGCCAGTCCCAGCATCATCTTTGGAGGAAACTGATGGTTATCACGTTCTCACCGGGAACATTTTCTTTCTTTCCTTCTTCTTTCTCTTCCCCTCCTTCCCCTTGCCCCATTGTCTACTTTTCCATCCCTAGTTCTCTTCTTTGCATATGCCTTCCTGGCTGTCCCATCCCATTCGTTGTCCCCCTGGATACGGGCAAGAAAAGGGACAGGAAGCGCAGAACACTGGACGGGGCTGCAATGTGGGGTGCACTCCCTCTGTCAGAAAGGCACGAGGGAAACACCTCCAAGCCTTGCAGGCCAGTCTGGTTCCCGAGGAAGCACTCATTATTTTCAGCCAGGTGTTCATGCCTTGAAAGGCCATCTTTTTCTATGCAATCCTGTCTCATAAAGAGCTCAGAATTGAATAGCTGTGGCTGCTCCTGATGGGAGTCGCTGACATCCTAGTTGCACAAGGCAAGTGACAAACCAGCTCACACCTGGAGTGCTGGTTCCACTCCCATCCATATGGATGTGACAGGAAATGGATCCCAAGAATGATGAACAAGAGATGATCACCAGGGTCAGTTACTCATCTTTCTGACCTTTAAGAAAAAAATAAAATAATAAAATGCTCTTGAACATTATCCCATTTCCTCACCTGTTTGGCCAGAATCCTTGCAGTGAGCCTTACAGTCTCGGAGGGATTCCAGTTTTCCCCAAAAACAACCATGGGAGAACATTCCAGCTTGTGCATGGGCCAATCTTCTTTCTGGGAAGGTTAAAAAAAAATGTATTAAACACACACATACTGGAATAAAGTTGGAGAACAGAGGATGCAATAAGTCCTCCTCGTTAAGGTCAAGTGAAATATGTTTCCTTTTGGAAAACATGACCATGCTCGTAAAAGCGAGAGATAAAAACATCCTTTAAGATAGATATGGTTGTATAACCTTGACTTGGGCCTGGCCAAGGTTGTCAGGATGACAAAATTCACTTTGTGTTTTTTCATCAAGCATCTCGTGCCTTTCCGCAGCCTCTCATTATTCCATCTACCTTCCCATTATCTGTGGAAGTTGTCAAATCACAGGGGTGAGCGATTTGGGTCTTAGCCATGATTTTGGCTCTGCTCCCTTCCAGCTCTGCTCTGGCTCTGTTCTCACGTCAGGGCACATAACTGGTGGTTGACGTACACAGCAACTAGTCCCCTTTTATAGGCGACAAAAACAAAACACAAATGAGGGCTTTGTCGAGGGCCCTCAGAGGGTCTGGCAAGGGCACCTATTGGGAATATTTAGGGATACAGACTTCCTAAAGATTCACTGGATGAAACAGGAAAACCGTATTTCTTTCTATGCCGTCTCTGGAAGCTTTGATGCCCCAGGTTGGGGGGGGGGGCGGAGGATACGTGCTCGTTAATAGAAAGGTGGAAGTGTCATCAACTGAGATGGGAAATGATGAGGGAGAATGACATGATGGTGCTGTGGAAACCACGGAAGAAAGTGTCCTGAGGAGCAGGAAGTAAGTGACTGTGACAGCGCTGGTGACAGGGTTAGTGTGGGATGACTGAGAACTGATTGGGTACCATGGAGGTCATTGCTGACTGATAAAACCAGGAGTGGTGGCCTGATGGAGATGACAAGCAGCTGGCAGTGGACTCGAGAGAATGGAAGGAGACACAGAAACTGGGAGAAATGGGGTGAAGGCTTAGTGGGGTGAAGGGTGGAGGGGCATCATTTTTTAGCTGGGAAACATGTTTGTATACGGATGGGAGTCTTCAGACACTGTCCTCCTCCCAATGGAACTGGGTACTGTCATGGTCTTCCCTCCGCCTTTCCTCCTCAGAAAATGGCACGTTGATTCTTTCAGATGCTGGGGCCAGAAACCTGGAGTCCTTGTTGCCCCTCGCCCCCTCACAGTCCACATTCAACTCTCTGTCAAATCCATCATCTCTGCCTTCAGAAGAGGCCTAGATTCTGATCACTTCTCACCACCCTCAGCCTTCTTCCTACCCTGCTGCAGCCCCGACACCTCTCACCGTGACGACTTCCCTGGCCTTAGACCTGGCTGCCTGCCTCTGCCCCTGACCCCCACCACCCATGACCAATAGAGCAGCCAGAGTCATCAATCCTGTTCAGCAAAACTCAGGTCATGGCATTGCTCAGCTCAGAAGCTTCTAATGGCTTCTCATCTCAGAGCAAAAGGCAAAGTCTTAGACGACCTACGAGAGGCCACACACAACGGGAGTCACCCCCCCTCGGCCACACACTCTCCCGGTTGTTCCTGGAACACACCAAGCACACACGCGCTGTATTTCTTGGCTAGCACCCTCTTCCCCTAGAGATCCATATTGCCCCTCCCTGTCTCTGCTCCAGTGTCACCTTTTCAAGATACCTGCCACGAATACCCTGTCAGCACTTTCCCCATCACACCCCTTTCCTTGCTTTATGTTTCTTCTCAGTACGTCTCACCACCTAATACAGTACATAGTTATCAGTTTTTTGGGTTTAGCATCTCTCTCTACCCCCCTGCCCCATTAAAATAAAGGAACTCAGTCTGTTTTGTTCACACCTGTAACCGCAGGACAGAGCCTGACGTTCACCAGACACTCAGTCAAGTTGCTCAGCAATGAAGATGTCTCCCTGCCCCCTACCCACCACCCCCATCCCAACAAGGAAGGACACAGTGTCACTCAATGATTTAATTCAGCATGTGGCACAGACCCTTGGCTCAAGTTCTGTGCCAAGATGTTCTGCAGAGTTAAATAACGCTGTGCCAAATATAACTGAGAGCAGGTAGAGAAAGAAATGACAAGATATGCACAAGGGAGAAGAGGATGAGCTTTTCGCCTCGGCCTAAAAATAAGAGCGCAGTGACGAGGCAAAGAGGTAAGAGGAGCAGGTAGGTCCAGCTCCCTGCAGGCAAGCCAGCTCCCTCCCCAGATGCAAAGCAAAAAGGGAGGCAAACAGGGAGAGACAAAGAGGCCTTGGGGATATCTGAGGGCAGTGGGAACCACCAACTGGGGACAGATGGATAACTAACAACTATGGAACAGAGTCCACTGTGACCCCAGGAACTCTAAGACAAGGCCCTTGCAGGGCCTTTAAGATGCTGGCTTTCTGAATTGCAGGTGGTGTCTTCGTGTTTAACAACAATGAGCTCCTGGGAGAAAGAAGTTTAACATGAACATTTCTTAATATGGTTTATTATTTATTCATAGAATTAAGGTATTAATATACTTAATACAAAATGAATGCGAACACAAATAACATACAATGTTGACATTTCTGGATGTAAACGTCCTCAAAGGGAAGGGAAGCTAACTCCAAGGAACGCTCTGGGAGGACAGCAGAGTGCTGCCGGCAGCCTGGTCCCTACTCGCTCAGCAGAGCAGCAGCTATGTGACACTAGGCAGGTCCCTTAATCCCCTTGCGTCTGTATCCTTGGCTATAAAGAACATGATCTCTAAGTTACTTAGCAGGTCCAGAATTCTGAGTCTATGCTTTTACACCTTCCAATGGTGATAATCAGATGCAAAGCTTGAAGACTACTGAGAAACCCAGGACCTTCAGAGGCTAACCACGCGATCACAAAGGGACGCGAGGCTCCCAGGGGCTCATCCACCTGAACAACAAACAGTGGTAACTGTACATTCACGGGGTCATTCATTCATTCAATAAGCCCTGCAACTTCCCCTAGAGACAGGGATGGGCAATGAAGTCTTGGACTTTAAGTAGTTTATGAGTATATGACGAGCTAAAAGTAAGAGCACCTATAATGTGGTCTAGTGCCACACACAACAGTTAAATCAGAGCTGGATAACTTCAAGGAGGTGCAGGATCACATGGGTTTCATCACAGGGACTATACCAGAATAATAATATGTTTTTACTTTCTTTTGAAAGACGACAGTCCACATTATGTTGGAGGAACTGACAGAGGCAATTTGCCCTAGTTTTGCATATAAGAACTATAAACAATCAGATTAGACAACATTGAAAAAAAATTAAGCTAGCCTTTTTTTTTTACTATTAGTTTTTTTGTACACAGAGTGGTTTTGTAGCCCTTTATGCTTTTTAAAAACATATTTGTCCATTTTTATTTTCTTTATTTTAAGATTTTTATTAAAATATAGTTAACATACAGTTTTGTATTAGTTTCAGGTACACACCATACTTAATCAACATTTATATACCTAAAGAAATGATAAGTCCAGCAACCATCTGACTCTGTACCACGCTATCACAATATTATTGACTATATTCCCTATGTTGTATATTATATCCCCATGACTTATTTGTTTTATACCTGGACATTTGGACCTCTTATTCCCCTTCACCTTTCCCCCTCTTTTTAAAATTTTCAATTGTAGTTGACATTCAATATTATTTTATATCAATTTCAGGTGTACAGCATAGTGGTTAGACATCTATATAATTTAAGAAATGACTCCCCCCCCCACCACCACCACCTAGTCTAGTGCCCACCTGGCACTATACATAGTTATTACAATATTATTGACTATATTCCTTGTGCTTTACTTTACATCCCCATGACTATTCTGTAAACTGCCAGTTTGTTCTTCTTAATCCCTTCCCCTTTTTCACTCAACCACAAAACCCCTCCCCTCTGGCAATCATCAATATGTTCTCTGTATCTATGAGTTTGTTTCTGTTTTGTTTGTGGGGTTTGGCCACATCCACAGCTTATGGGCTGCTGTGCGGGAGGCTTCCCCCACTGAGCGGGATTCACCCTAGCAGGCTCTGGTGCCTGTTGAGACCACCCTTTGCGTATGCAGCTTATGGGGCTAATTGGGTGGTGCTCTGCTGTGTCTGAAGCCAACCTCCAAGTATGTTTGTTTTGGGGCCTCTTGCAAGGGGCTCTCGTGCAGGCCCAGGTCACCCACTGTCTGTGACTGGCTGGGGACTACCTGGTAGGAGCTACAAAGCCATCCGCAATTGTTTGCTGCCTGTGCTAAACCTGGAGGCATGTGGCAGAGGCCACGCTGCAAACTAAGGACCGCTGCCCCCAGTACCAGGCCTGGGGTAGCTTCACAAAAAGCCAGAACACCCTGAGGCTTGCTGCCAGCTGTGGGCTCCCTTAAGGTTCAGCTCTTCATAAAAACTCCTGCGGTACACGAGTTGGGCGAGGCATGGTCTCAGGGAGTCACTAGAGTGGGAAGATTTGTGGTCAGCAGGTTAATGTAGATTCTGGATTGGTGCCAGTGTGGAGCCTGAAGCTACTCAGCAAAAGTCTCAGAGCCCACCAGCTGCTGCCCACCTGGGTCCTGCAGTCTCTGATAGTCTTCCAAGAAAGTGTGTAATGTGGGTGGGGCTGGCTGCTCATGGATAAAGCACCTCTAGTGTTGGGTGAATAGGGTGTGGCAGGGACCCAGTGAGTTAGCAGGGTGGAACAGCAGAGCTAACTAGGCCAATCAGATTCAGATTTGGCCTGTGGGGGAGGGCTCAACACAGGAAAGATGGTTCCCACCTACCAGCTGCACAGAGGATGACCCCACAAAGGGAAAATGGCGACTGCCCTTTGGCCCTCACTCTGACGCCCCGAGTCACTCCACCAGAGCCCAAGGTGAGTGCCTGTGAGTGAGAGAGTCTGTGCGTGGGTTGTTTAAAAGGACGTCTGGGTTTCCCGCAGCTTTCCGTCCCATCCGGGCAGCCAGAATTCCCACTGTTTTTCACAGCCAGATGTTGTGGGGTTCCTCTTCCCAGCACCAGTACTCTGGGCTGGGGAGGCTGGTGTGGGGCTGGGGTCTCTT